TCGATTAACACCTCTGTTTTAGGAAAATTTTGTTGCTTTCAAAGGGTTAATCAATTAACCATTTGCAAGGAAAAAATGGTTAATCGATTAACACTGTTGCAAAAGATGTTTTTTGTGCTTTTTCATGCTTGTTTGGTTTTCTTTCCTCATTTAACTTCCATGGCTTGATATACTTGATATTTATGGATGTTTTATGAGTTGTTTAGCCTCTGGTTGAAATATGTATGCCAACATTTGATGCATGATTTTATCGATTATGGAATTATTTGCATTCTTGAAGTTGTGAAATCATGTTGCTTTTTGCATACTTTTGTTTACATGATAACATGATTAGTGATGCATGCTAATTGATTCTTGATTAGTACTTGGAATTTCATTCTTGATTGCATTAAGTTTTTTATTTATTGAACAAATTTAATTTTGTATAATCATCACTTCACACGCTTGCTTTGATGATCTTTCGACTCGCTTGAATGATTGATGGCTTGTTCTTTCCCATTGATTGATCGAAACCTTGTTTCGATTAGTTAATCCTCCTTTTGCTCTTCTCTTTATGTTTCTTTTAGAGCTTCTTATTCTTGGTCCCCTATGGAGCTGGAAGTCTGCACAACACATTGGAGCATTGTACAAGTTTGCGCCGTTACTTTGTAGGTTTCAATTTTTGCGCTATACTCTGAGTGCTAGTGAAGAGATGAGAGTGGAGAATTCCTACACTCATTCTAATTATTTTAGGTAGGGGACGAATGACCTTGTGCCTGGAATAATTGTCTCTATCTTCAAACTGTATTGTCTCCCTTTTTCCAATGGATTCAATTTTTGATCCCTCTTGCCCTTTTAATCTTTCCTTTGATCAATCACTAAGTCTCTGGTTCAAGATCTTTGTTTCTTGGATTGCTTATTCTTTGGGTAATACCAATTCTCTTATTCCGCAGCGAAGTCTCAATCATTTTCTTCGGTTAATCACAGTCTGCCTGTTAAACACCGAATCCCTATCGGAGTTCGTAGCCTTTCTTGGTTCTCTCTCCCTTTGTCATCCTTTTGGTTAACCACTGCCCGTCAGTTAAAACAACAATATGTTTTGTTCCTCAATTAATCACAGTCTGTCTATTAACATACTGAGTTCCTCTTGGGTTAATCACCTTCTCTTGGTTAATCACCCTTTTCTTTGGTTAATCACAGTCCACCTGTTAAAATCAATCTTCCTTGGGTTAATCATTTTATCTTGGTTAGTCACTTGTTCCTCAGTTAACTATAGTTTGTCTGTTAACATACTGAGCTTCTCTTGAGCTAATCACCGTCTCCTAGTTAATCACAATTTCTTCTTGGTTGATCATAGTCCTTCTGTTAAAACCAATACCCATGTGAGTTAGTAACCTTCTTGTGGTTCAAATACTCGCGTCTCTAGATTAGTAATCTCCTTTGGTTCAAATACCCTTTTTTCGGTCAAGTACTGCTTGTTCATTCAGTGTACCGAATCCTTTTGGGCCACAACCTTTGTTTTGTTCCACACCTGTCTTTTTTGGGTCACAACCTTCGCTTGGTTCCACACCCGTCCTTTTTGGGTCACAACCTTTGCTTGACTCCACACTCGTCCTTTTTGGGTCACAACCTTCGCTTGGTTCCACACCCTTCCTTTTTGGTTAATCATCGTCTGCCGGTTAGAAACCAATTCCTTTCTCTTTTCGATTAATCACTATTTAATAGTTAACATACCGAGTCCCTAGAGAGTCAACACTTTATCTTGGTTTAGTACTCTCCTTTTGGTTCATCACAGTCCTTCTGTTGACACCAACCTTTTTCTTCCCCGCAGAGTCATACTCTTTTATTGCTTCTGTTAACCACTGTCTGTCAGTCAATATACTGAACTCCTAGTGTATCTTACCTTGTTTCAATTTAATTCCCTTGCTCCTTTATTCTATTGGTTTCGAAATCATTCCTTTGTCTTTCTTTCTTGATTTTAACACCATTCTTTTGTCTTTCCTTCTCTTTTCGCTCTTGGTTTTAACACCATTTTCCTTTTCTTTCTCCGTCCTAGTTCTCTGAACTACGGAGCTCTAACTTCCTCATTGCACTGTGAGGATACGTAGGCACGGGATCGTGAGATCTTGGCGAGCTACCTTTTACCTTCTTCCGTCCTTCTTCTGTCCTTTTTCCATTCTTCTTCTTCTTTCCTGGTTCTCTGAACTACGGAGCTCTGAATTTCTCATTGCACTATGAGGATACGTAGGCACAAGGGCCCCAATCCTCTGCGAGCACTTTCATTTTCTTTCTTCCTTCTCCTTTCTTTAGCTAAAAGTCTTTAGATAGATAACTCATCCAAGCCTAGAAGTAAGTAAAATGGTTCTCGTCAAGTACGACGAATGCGTGAGGTGTTAATCCCTTCCTTTCACATAATCGACCCTCTTACCCATTTCTCTTCCCCTTGGGGTCTATCGATATTTTCCCTGTCCCTTAGGACTAAATAAAGTTTGGTGGCGATTCTGTTATATTTTTTAGTGTGTGATTCACTCAGGTATAATACTGCTAGCTTCAATTTGCAATCATTAAGTTTAATAAAATAAATCTGAACGTCCTTTTTTTACTAGTTCATCCGATTAACTAGAGCATCGCATCATATATCATATCATTATAAGTACTATTGTCTTTAAACCTCATATCGTTCGTGTCAATTATACTTATTGATGGCACTTTTATGACATTAGCAATATTCAAATGAGTGTCCATATCTAATTTAAATCTTTGTGATGTTTATTATATCTCTAATCTCAATTCAGTCTTTCTTTTGTTAATCAATTGCATAATTTGGTTACTTCGTTATGTTTTCTTCACTCATTATCATGTGCAGGATTGACAATTTATGAGGCTAATTAGAACATATCGTAAATATGGAGACTTTATGTTGTGGATGAGATGAGAGTTTTTGACACTACAACCTTAACTTCTCCTATTCATTTATTTAAATTTATCATCTTGTAATTTTTATTTGTGGCATGTATGGGTTATATTTCTGCATCAAGATTAAATACTTATTATTTACTAAAGTTTAGAAAAATTAAAAGTTGTGATATTTTTTATTGTTAGGTTGAAAATTTGCTAAATTTTCTACTTTGTCTTTCAATAAAAGTGTTTATGTGTCTATTGCATTTTTTTTGACTTAAATCTTTGTGATGTATGAAGTCCATCATCAAATCTTATAAAAGATGGATTTAAATGTTATATTTTTTTTATTGATTATTATATTTGTTATTGTTGGATTTATCTTATAAAAAGTTATTTTAAATGTTTTTCACATTTATCGTATGCTTTATGATAACGTTCCAACTCAAAATAATATTGTTATAAATTGTTGTCGTTGTGATTTTGATTGTAAATATACTTCTAACAAACTCTTTGAATAATGGCATAGTTCATTAAACCTCTTATACAAATAGTATTCAACAAAATAACATGGTCGTATTGTTGAATATGATTTTTCCTTTTTATTATCTACTTCTATTTCAAATGAGTTTTAAGAAGAAGAAACGGTAAAGAATGGGACGACTAAAATGGTGTTCAATAGCTTTATTTCTATAATGGTTTTATATATTTAATTTAACATTTGTTTAAGCATAAGTGCGTGAAGATTATACCTTTATATTCGGCTTTGAAACTTTACATATTTATATTTGTCTTTGAAAGTTCACATAAAAAACGTCCTACTATTTAACACCCTTGGAGGAAAAGTATTGAATAAATTTATTAATATTGTAAAAAAAAGTTAAAAATGTATTTTCTTTCAATCATCAAGAGAGAAAAATTAGGTGGTATTTTAATTATTTACATTCAGTTGATAATATTTTTATTTTAAAAAAAACAATTAATTCATATTACAATTTGAAGACAATCTTAAAAAATAGGCAATAAAACTTTATAAGAAAGTATTAATCTAAGAACAGAGGTATAATTTTAAATTATCGTTGATAAAATTCTATTGACTAGAGATTTTTTCAGATTGGCTAGAGTTTTATTTAATTTGATTATCATGTGATAACTAATGATATATTCTTTAAATAAATAAGAGTTTCAGTTTATTTCTTTTTAAAATATCACTTTATAATAATTTTTTTATTTATCTTCTTAAACGTGTAATTTAAATTAATTTGAAGGTAAATAAAAAAAATACAAGAACAAAAGACTTAAAATATTAACATTTTAAAAAATTATTTTAAATTTTTTTATAGAAGATAAATCGAAATCCGTCGTATTACGAAAATGATGTATATTTAACCTTAAAAAAAAGAAAGCAAAACTAGGAGGAGAAGAACCATAACAGGTCCTCTTCAAAACAGCACCTTTATTTACCATACTACCCTTCATAATCTCTTATGGACACGGGTTTTCCTCGTAGCCAAGCGCTGCGCGTGCTTTCCACCTCCATCTCAGAAATTACCTCCATCCACGTCACCATGTGGGCCCGTACCTCTTTAAAACCCTAATGAACGATACATTCATCCGAAATTTACTTCAAATCCAATTCCAAATTAAAATTAAAACACCACCTCCTCATTCACCATCTCAGATTGAGACACGTGGATGCATGTAAAAATCTGAGCCGTCCGTGCCAGATCTTATGGTCAGTTTTCTGGGCAACCTAGAAATGGATAATATCCGTTAGATCATAAATCAATATCAAATCAACTGCGTAGAGAGCTTCCCGATACAACCACGGGTAGATCTCATCCTTTAAGAAGAGGCTCTAGCCATCTCTTCTTCATCGCTCAGATTCGAGTAAGAGAAATTTCAAACCCTAAAAGTTACCCTTTTCATATTTTGGGTTTTTCTCATTCGATCTTGACCTGTGTTTTCATCGCCGGCGCGTGGAACTTTCAACCGCGCGTGAATCAACTATCGGCGCGTGGCTTTTACTGCACCGCTGACTTATGCTTTGTTCGAGCCGCATTTGGAAATTCATGCCGGAATTTCGCCGGAGTCTTATCAGACGGCCGTGATTTTACACTTCCATGGCTTCCGCTGTTCTATCCAACCGGAACGAACCTAATTGGCCACAGCATAGAAGCAGTGGAGCAGGATTCATGGGGAAAACACCTTTCTCTAACTCTAACCCTAACCCTAACTTCAAACCTAAATTAGGAAACAGCAAGAGGACGCAATCAGCTTCCGATGATGCTTCTTCTATCAACCGGAGAACGAATGATTTGAATCACTCTCAACACGTAACCTTCAACGTGGCGTCATACTCGAAGAATGAGCTGAACGAACTCAAGCATCGCCTTGTTTCAGAGCTCGAGCAGATTCGTAATCTTAAGAATCGAATTGAGTCCGGTGAGTTTCAGCCTCAGAGGAAATCTACGAGTAAGAAGGTTTCTGGTAACAAGCGTCCCGTGCAGCTGAATCCGACGAAGGATTTTAAGAGATCAAGTTCGGAGATTGAGGGGTTGATGAAGGGTTGCGGGCAGATTTTGCAGAAACTGATGAAAACCAAACAGGCATATTACTTCAATGCTCCGGTCGATGTTGTTGGAATGAGTCTTCACGATTACTATGATATAATCAAGCGACCAATGGATCTAGGTACAGTGAAGTCGAATCTCTTGAAGAACATTTATGCAAGTCCAGCTGAATTTGCTTCTGATGTGAGATTAGCATTCAACAATGCACTGGCTTATAACCCTAAAGGACACGTTGTAAACACAGCTGCAGAACAGCTTTTAGCTAGGTTTGAAAAACTTTATGTTCCATTACATCGGAGATATGAAGAATGTCTAAATCATGATCACCATTTTGAAGAGGAATTGCAAGCTAGTTCTTGGAACCACGTTGAGCCACCAGAAAGGATTAAGAAGAAGAGGGAGAATCCGAATCCAGTCCCTCCTGCAGAATACCACCATCCAGAGCCACCTCAGCCCCTTGCAAGTTCTTCCAAACCTCCAGTGGAACAACCTCCATTGATGCAGTCTCCAGTGCGTACTCACACACCGTCGCCAATGCAAGCCACCCCAGTGAAGCCTTTGAAGCAGCCAAAACCCAAGGCCAGGGACCCTAACAAAAGGGATATGAATCTTGAGGAGAAACAGAAATTGGGAATTGGCTTGCAGAGTTTGCCATCGGATAAAATGGAACAGGTTGTACAGATCATAAGGAAAAGAAATGGGCATTTGGAGCAGGATGGGGATGAGATTGAGCTTGATATTGAAGCTGTTGACACTGAGACTCTATGGGAACTTGATCGATTAGTGACTAACTGGAAGAAGATGATGAGCAAGATGAAGCGGCAAGCACTAATGGACAATGTGAATAACAATGTGGCTTCAAACATTGACAATGGGGTAAGTTATCTTATCTCTTAATGCGTTTTTTTATTTAGTGTAGTGAATATCGTTAGTTTAAGTTACAGTTGCTCATTTTGCTGCTTGTTATGATTGATTGATATGACAGGAAGTACCTGTTAGTGAGAAGGTTGATGAAGTGTCACCTGTTGAGGCAAAGAAGCCAAAGAAAGCTGAAGCAGGGGATGAGGATGTTGACATTGGGGACGATATGCCAATGAGTGTGTTTCCCCCTGTGGAGATTGAGAAAGATAAAGATGTTGTCGTTGGAGGCCGCGCAAGTAGTAGTTCGAGTAGCTCGAGCAGTTCAGGCAGTGATTCCTCTTCATCAAGTGGTATATATTAATCTGCTTCTAACAGGCTTTGTTTTTAGATTACATAGTTTTGCTGTGAGGAAAAAAAATTGAAAGTTAAATCACTGTTGCAGATTCTGATTCAGGGAGTTCCTCTGGGAGTGATTCTGAAGCAGACAATGGGCACTTATAGCAAGATGGGGCTTTAGAAAATAATAATTCAGAAGAGTGTGTAGGCAGATAAAGAGATGAAGAGTGTTTTTTGAAGGTCTCGGTGATCTTCAGGCGTTGTGATCATTGTTTGTTGGTTCAGTTTGGGAGTAGCGGACTGGACTATGGTGCTCGAGGAGTTGTCATGTGTGATGTAGATGTAAAAATGAAAGGCAAGTGAATCAACACAAATTGTAGGCCAGAAAGTAGACTGAAATATTAGGAATAGAATGGACTAGTGTTTTTTTGTTTCTAGTTTAACTTGTACACATATTAAAAAGTAAATAGATGACTCATCTTATTTTAAAAAGCCATTTGTGCATCTGTTTATCTCGTACACATTAAAAACACGGGGAACATAATTGATTAAGACTTTTTTTTTGTGGCTATATAGTAAATATTTAAGGTGAAAAGGATTTCAATCAAAAACTAATAATGATTATGACCTCAAGAAATATAATGTAACATACAAATAGTTCACAAAAAACAAACAAGTACATATAAGAGTCCTACCAAAATTCACCTTCCAGAAACTTTTTGACAAGTATCTTTAAAAGAATTTTATACTAATGCTGCTGACAGATTTCAAATAAAAGTTCTACAAAAGTTCCCCTTTCAGAGTTGGAATCCTATATTTGGCTGTTCAAAACAAATTGTCACCGAATTGTGCCTCAAGGGCAGCTTGAATATCAGGTGCCAAACTTTTAAGAAAATACTTAGTGAGGCTGTGCTCAGACAAGATCACAGAAACCTTAACACAAAACTTTTTGACTTCTGTCTTTCTTGCTGCTTTGCTAGGCATATTTGTCACCAACTCTTTTATAACATGAGAGACTTTATCCAAATTGTTTTTAACAATCTTCTTTGATGCATTCAGTCCCTCGCCACTCTGGGTTGCTAGTGACTTCATTATTTCCATTACCAAATCAAGTGCTTTGACTCGCCGAAAGTCTGATTTGGCACTTCCACATCTCTCCAAAATAAAACCAAATACAGCATGGCCAATCCATGGTCTTCTTCGAAATATTTCTTTTAAAAATCCAGCTTTGATTTGAGACTTCTTACTGTCAAAATAATCAACCAATGTTTTCTGGAATATTTGAATAATCCCCTGCAGTTCGGACTCGGCAAAATTACCTGAATCGACAATTTTCAATATCCAAAATGTTGAAGTTTGGGGAAAGGAAGAAATCCTTTTCTGTTGTTCAGCTGATTGCTTTGAGGTCTTGGTTCCAGACTTCTGCTTTCTGAATGGTTTTGATGCTAGTTTCAAATTTCTCTCTAGCAGAGATTCAAGTGTGGATAATTGGACTCCATCACCCTTTGGATAATCCTTTGCTTTAAATATTTTCTTCTGCAATATTCCACATAGACGCTGACTGAGCTGCTCACTAACTTCGGCAGTGTGTGGGTTAACAAAGGCCCGCGCCAAATGTGAGTACACAGTAAGAACCTGAGGCTTACCTGTGTAACATCAGCCAAAGTTAAAAGATCTAGATATAAACGTGGCAACTTCTTGTTTAGGGAAATATTGAATAGCTATGTTTGTGCTTTGTGATTTATACACAGTTGAAAAATAGCATCATAACACAAAGCAAGTGCAGAAACTGATAAGTGACATCAGTAATGTATACTTGTCTGGATCTATATCCATTTGTTACAGTTTTTTTTAATGAATTTTAAAGTTTTATAGCTTTTGGTTATAACTTCTCAAAATTGAATTTTTTTTAAAACTTCAAATGAGAAATTGGTTTGAATAGCTTTTCATAAAATTTCACTTTTTTTAGATGATAATTTTTCAAAGAACACTTAAAAGAATATCTATCCCATCCTGAACAATATGTGGTTTTTATCATGTTAAAATCTCTAACAAATGAATATCTAAACTAATCATGTCAAAATTACTCTTTTAATATATAACAAATGAGTTTGAAATAATTTTTTTCATTCTTGATTAAGTACACAAAAATGGTTTTCAAAAATATCAAGTTAAAATCACTTTTTTAAATCTATAAAATAGTTTCATAAAGGTGTCAACATTTTATTACTTTATGAAGCAGTCAACTTTCTATTTAGGGAAAAATTTAACATCTGTCTATATACTTGATCAGTTATATTTAACATACAATTGGAGAATAGAAGCATAACACACAAAGCTAGCCCGAAAACTGATAAATGGCAGAAGTAAGGTAAACTTGCCTGGATTTTCATGAAGGAAAATTTCCAATAATGAAAGGATGCGGAGTTTGAACAACAAAAGCTGGGATTGAGCAGTTTCATTTCCCGCCTGATTTTTCTTCTCTTTGAAAATTTGAGCAAGATATGTATCCATCCTGAACATTGCATCATCATCCATCCCACTATCTGAGTCATCAGAAGCTTCATGATGGTCCTGCCCAGTTTCCTCTGCCTCAACCACAGATTCAGAGTCATCAGACAGCCCATCGCTCTCACCTGTTTCACCAGTCTCAGCTTGATCAATTTCTTCATCTTCAATATTGAATAAGTCATCATCTTCATCATCGTCATCTTCATCTGCACTAGCTGCATCGGGATGTCTTGCAGGTTTTAAATTTTTCTTTATGACACGCAACATCCGCATCAGCCCATCATCGGTGATATCACTGCAAAAATATTTGAACACCTATACATACAGAGATAACAAAGTTTAGATAAATAGAAAACGCAATACAGTCTGTAAGCCAGGATATACAAGTCAAGTTTAAATTATGCATACGGCCAGAGATGATTAAGTTTCTAAATTATTATTGCCTTCCAACAAAGAATGATATATACTATGTCATATATAGCCAATCAAAAATCAATCTCAAATCTATCTCATAACAACCAGGTAAATCACAAAAACAAAGTCATACCATTCATTCAATTAAGGTTTGATTTACTATTGGATAGCATGTACATATAGTCATAGCATGTATCAAATTACATTGGTGTCCTATCAAAGTTTCTATCCAACTCTTTAATCTCAAGATCTTTCTAAATAGTTTTTCCAAGTCTTCCTCTATCTCTAGTTGTTTAGATCCCTAAATTATCCAAGGATCATTGACTAGAACTGAAGTGAGGGAAAAAAAGATGCATTAGTAAACTACAATGTCATTTCAGTGCCAAACCTTATGTAAAAAGGTGATTTAAAATGTTCATTTAACAGGTAGAATTTAGAGCACATTGCAAGCTCAGTTAAACCTGGACAGGTAATTACCTTATAAACTAAAGATCTCTAATTTTGCTTGAATTTAAGCAAACCAAAACACTAATTCGTTTGTATGAGAATTAACACTATCTTCAATTAGGCAAATTCCAGGAGGAAAATATCAAACTCATTCCAATTAATGTGTCTGATTATGATCGTTGTGTAACAGAAGGAATCCTCGTGATTATATAAATGATAGCAAAAGTTTCTGTGAATTATACACCATTTTTCCCTAAACACCAGATTCATGGCAGTCTCAGTCTCAGAGGTGAATGTTTACGTATCCCCAAATTGAAATGATGCTAAGACCTGCCATATTGACATAAGGTATAACAATACAGTACTGTAATCTACTCGATCTACAATTATGAAACTACAGACAAACACTTTTCATCTAACCTGATCAATAGCAGACCGCATAGGAGCTGATGACTGTGGAAGCAGAGAGAGCAATGTATCCACGAGAACATCCATCAATTCAGGTGCATCATCAACCTCTGTATCATCTTCTCCAGAGGACTCGGGGTTATCAGAAGTAGAAAATGTTTTCTTACAACAGATGATGAGTTCAGATGCAGCTTCCGAGTATTCCCTTGGACAAAGAAGGACTTGTAAGAGCAACTGAATAAGCAAGTAACGCAGTGCATGGTCTCTATCTGCATCAACACTGCAGTCATGGATCTTTTCCTACTCACCGGTGTATCAGAGATGAAACATCAGTATCAATGATAAATAAAACTACAATGCAGTTCACATAATTTATAACTAGAAGATTAATTTAGTGACATAAATAAATGCAAATATACACCAAGAAAGAAAACTAAAATCAAGATATAAATCACAGGATTCTATTTTTAACATTACTAAACAGAGAATCATCATAATAAAATCAGACAGTCAAAAGTAATGTAGACAGAGGTCAAAACTTACACCAAGGCTTCTAATACCAGGGCCATGGACTGTATACAAACTTATACATGAAAATGCAACATGAATAGTTATCAAACCATCTAAAGATACATCATGATCCACTGGGTTATTCTGTTTCAATGTTTTTGCTGATCAGGTAGAACAACAAACCATCCATTTTTGTCCAGAAATTGGATCACACACCACGTGAGTACCTAGGAAAAGCATAATAATGTCTACTTGTTTTCTTCAACTGTCAAGTGAATAGTGAACACAAGGAGCCGACAGTTTGAAAGTACAGAATATTAGAAAAAAAATACTACAAGTACAAATAATTTTTAAAACAAGAAAACCTCAGTGACAAATTTTTTAAAAAATCACAAAACATTAAGTATAAAAATAGCAATAGTTAGTCCAAAATAAGACAGCCAACTACAACACTAGCCAATGAAAAAACTTGATGGAATTTTACAAGTCACATGAGACTCAATTATTTAAAATGTTGAATTACCAGGCTGTGAACTTCTTAAAACAGGAAAAAGGCCATGGTATGGCATATGTCTAAGTATCAAAATAATAGGTCCAAAGCATAAATACCTCTCTGGATAATTTAGCTTCCATTGCTTGCAAATCTTTTACAGCTTTTTCATCCTCGTCGTCTAAAGTCCGGAAAAGGGAAACTGAAGGAATGCTGCATAAGGTGCTGAAGAACTTCATGAAGTACAAACCCAGATCATTCGGCTCAAGGCTATTAACCAAAGCTCGGGAGCCATCTCCCTTCTGAGCATTTGCCAACAACAACTGCAGCTGCTCAATACACATCTTGCAAAGAGCATTAGATGTTGGAGTTTTTGGCCACCTAAATTTCTCGTCCAACTCAAACGAAGTCACTTCAGAGCCAAGAGATGCCGTGAACAGACCCTGAACAGCCATAAATTTCAATATTTCTTTTTGCACTCGGAACTTCTCCTCATGGTCCAGCTTTAAGAATTTCAAAATACCAGGAAGGGATTCTATAACCCAACTCTTCAAAAAGTCTGAATTCCCATTTGTCCTAGGAGAATCTTTATCCTCAACAGAGCCTATTTCAGAATTTTCATCTGTTGTTTGACTCTGATCTGAGGGTTCCTCCATGACATTATCTTCATCCACAAACAGGTTCATCAAGTTTTGAACAAAGAGCATGCATCCAGGTTCTGTTTTGAAATGTGACATCAAATTTTTAACATGCTTTGTCCTAGTGATAGAATCAAATTTTCCATTGCTGTGCTTCTGTATAGCCACTATAACAGCAACTCTTTTGACATCATCGTCTCCCACCCAATCTGATAATTGTTTAAGAAAATGTTGTCCAACTTTATACAGCCATGTGTTATTTGTTGACAGTATATCCATTAGGCACTGAACAACTTTGTTTGACAGAACAATTGGAACTAAAGATGCAGACAGCTTTTGCAGAAGAAGAAACATAACATCGAAAGCTAAGCGCTTACGGTCATGAGATGAGAAGAGAAGGGATTCTTCAACAATAATTTCACAAAAAGACTTGAGATTCTTCGCAATTTCCTCATCAGAAGAGCAAGATTTTCTACTCTTCTTATGTTTCTTTAAAGAATTTGAAGCTGTCGCTGCATCTTCCAATTGTGGAACAGTATTGGGTATAAGTATATTTATCAAAACAGGCCAGATACTATGAACACGGGGCTGACAGAAGGTTGCCTCCTGCAATATTCAGAAAATGCATAAGAACCGTCTTCTATAACCCCATATGAAGTAGTACCTGTCACGAATAGAAGAAAGGATTTAACATACCTTTAAACAATTACTCAGGAAGGACAGGTGATCAGCAGAGAAAAGCTGGCTAGAGCTAAACGGATTTGGTAGTAGTTTCCCATAAATGGAGCTGTCTGTCGAAATTTTCTCTCGAACTTTTAAAGCAAGGAATAGAGCATCGGGATTTCCTACTTCGGCAGCAGATTCAAACCACTTGTCGAGCCCAGGAGCTTCATTAATATGATTCGCTAATGCTTCAGCAGGCAACTACAAATAACAAAGAAAACAAAATAAATAATGGGCTTGAAATAACTGTTTTTGGTGTTAAAAATAAGGCTAGATAGGTTAAACATATGGCTCGAGGAAACGTGTAATTAGTCACAAAGTTCAGCAATGATCATATTAGAAAGTGATCTACTCATAGCACAGACAACTCCGAGTGTGCAAGCAGTTGTTTGCATGAGCCTGTTAGGGTGCGCATGCACACATGCACATAAGGATAGGAGGCGGAAATGTTTGGAAATCACCAATAGCAAAAAAGAGTAAGAGAATAGCATGATAACTAGCATAACATCATAAAAAGGAAAACAATCTGATCCAGCAAAGTAATTATAATTCAGCCAAGAGATCCACCAAAACATCTCATAAACAACGCATAAGTTATGAAATGTTTGAGTCATAAGTCAAAAAAGGTCTTTCAGATGATCACATGGAGTAGAACGCAAAGTAATGGCGGTTGATAATTATCATCAACAAGTTTTTGCGAGTTGTGTATTCACCAGGAAGTAAAAAGGGAAAAATAATTTTAGGAATGTAGGTAAAGAGAGATCGTGACCACATTGAAACCCATTAAAATCCAAGGCCAATCACCCCATAGAGGAAAACAGTCGTGAGATTTAGAAATGAACATGTAAAGGATAAAACTCCTTATACTTATGATATACAGACCTTTTCAACCAAATATAGAATTATTGAGACGGCGGGCTCTTGCAAGTATCGCTTCTTAGTGGCAAGGGCAATAAGTATACCGACAAACTCTTTTATGTATGGAGTATTTTTATCCATGCTCCATTCTTCAATAAGCCTTCCTGATCGAGCCAGAGCACCATAAGCAAATAAACGGCCCAGAAAACAATCTTTCGCTTCCTGCAATTTCACAGCGAATACACTAGTACCCAACAAGCTGATGAATGAACCGACACAAAATAATTAAGCAAACACCATTGTATACCTGACCCTTCATTGATGAAGTTACTTCCAACAGATCTACCACGAGTTTAAGGAAAGACTCAACCTTGATTTTGTCGATAGCACCAACTAAAACTGTTAAACCTAATGCAAAACCTTGTCGCGCACACTGCAAAAACAACAGATAATGTCATCTACATAACAACTAAGCAAGCAAAATTAACAACAATGAACAGGGTTTACTGACAATAATACATTATCAATATTCAGGAACTGACAGTGATACATTATAAAGATTCGGAAACATTTTCCACTCATAGTAATAGACTATACAGACTTAATAGAAGAAAAAAAAAGTTGCAACAACTAGCCTTAGTAAAATACCAAGGCTAAAAACAAGCACACGCATCACAATATCATGCCACATAAGTATAGAAATTGGATAAGTAAAAACTAATGCAACAGAAAATTTAGAGAAATGCTCCTAAAACATCAATAACCAGACAAAACAAAGTAGCATCACAAAAGTAATTTGGCTTTGAAACTAAAACTGAGATATAATTGAAGTTGAATCGGAAACAAAATAAACACTACAATATTCGAACCAAAGAGAACACAAAAAAACAAACCTCTCTTGAAGAAGAAACACCTCGAATAAGCCTACGAACAGCATATCTAACAGAAGGTGCACATTCATCCAATCCATCATTCTTCTCAGCTTCCAGCTTAAAACCAGCGTCACCACTCTCCTTCCCCTGAACTCCACCATAAGCATTCTGAACGTCCTTCAATTCCGTCACCAATTGTTTAGCAGCAGCTTCCCTGACCGATTCAGCCGCGGCCGCTAAGTCCTTAAACACACCAATATGAAACTCCGGTAGTGAATCGCCGCCGCTCCCGCTAGCTGAGTCCGTCAACACAACTGCAGGTTTCGAATCCGAATCTGCGAGTTCGGATTTGGATTTGGATTTGGCGCTACGCCTCTCCTTTTGGAAAGCTTTTCGTTTCTTCTTGCTTTCCATTGAAGATGGCGTGGCGGAAGATTCAGTGTTTTTAGGTTTCTTATTGAGAGGTTCCTCTTGAGAAACTACGCCGTTTTCTTCTTCTTCGTGTTGTTCGGAAACAGTGGTGCTCCTTTTCTTCTTGCTGCTACTACCCATTGGAATTTGGGGATTGTTGTTCGGGAAAAAAGAGTAGCGAGAGTGAAATCGGAGAGAGAGTGTTGAATGCGGCTTTAGGGTTCAGCTTAAACCTCAGATTCTCTCAAAGCCAACACTGAAAGGTTAACGGGTTTCCCATTTATATACATGTATTTTTATTTTTATGTTTCCTAAATATCAACTATAAACACTTAAAAAAAAAAAAAAATTGTCCAAAATTACTTCAAAAAAAGATTGTCCAAAATTATTTCAGTGCCCTTTCCTTTAAAATTAATTACAATACATATTGGACAAAATAGTAAACACCTAAATGACAAAAATCATCTCTTTCATTTCCCTTTTCTATTGTCATCTCTCAAGTGTGTATTGGATGCATCAAACCTTTCTTTCCCTCCTCCCCACAAACATCTGAACATTGAGTTACCCATAAAACCTCTTATACTCACACGATTTTGCTCCCTCCTCCCCACAAACATCATCAAACTTCTGCTAACATCAAAGTTTTCTGGTTTGTTTCTTCACATTTTTTGGGGTTTTGCAAGTTGACATTGTTGTTCCAAGTTGTTTTGGTTCGTCTGTGACAAGTTGTTCTGCTAACATCAAACTTCTGCTAACATCTGTTGATGTTGTTTTCCAACCTAACATATGTTGGTCTTCTGGTTCATTTCATCGTATTTTTTGTTATTTTACAAACTCTTATTTGGTTTACACTATAAAATATGCAGGTTGTTTTCATGAAAACATGTTTTTGTTAATATATTGTTTTTGCTTACACATAAATTATTTAATCAGTTGTGAAGTTGTAAGGTATATGAATATTGATTAATGTCCATTCACCTGAGCAATTTTTTTCTCTTTTATGTTTCTAAGCAACCATGTCAAGACCCCCAATACTCATCAAGGACTTGGAGAAAGGGAAACAGGTTTGGAAAATGCTCATTAGAGTTGTTGATCTTTGGATTGTGAAGCAGAAAAGTGGACTGCAACATTTCGAATTGGTGATTCAAGACTCACAGGTAATCATTACCTGCTCTGTTTCTATATTATTATTTTCCATTTCCTTGAATGTTTACCCATTTTGTAAGGTGATCAAATCCATGTCACAACTCGGAACCGTGAGTTTAAAGAATGGTCTGAACAGCTAACTGAACATGACACTTATTGCCTTTACAATGGAGAGCCAATGACTAATGATGGCACTTTCAAAGTTTGCCCCAACAAGTTGAAACTTGTCTTCAATGGAGGAACGACTGTTTTGAAATTGCCAATACCCGAAATACCGAAACACTAATTCAAGTTTAAGCCGATTATCGACTTTCTCACTGGAAATTTCATCACTGATCTCTTATATGGTGAGATGTATTCATATTATACATATGGTGTATATTGATATTTGTCATACTAAATGGATATTGAATTAACTACATATGATACATATGAAAACATTGTCACTTTTTCTCATTCTCATATATTACAGATGTCGTTGGGGTTTTACAAGATGTTGCAAAGACGCAAATGGGAGGTGGTGGTAAGAAATCATGTGCCAACATCACTCTAAAAGATGGAGCTGGAAATATTATTGAGGTTGCGTTATGGGATGATTACGGTAAACAGTTCATGAGCTATAATAGCTCCAACAAGTTTCTCTGACCAACACTCATTGTCTTAACACACGCATGGTGCAAGCAAAATCAAGGTAACAAAGTTATTGTGATACATATGCAATAAATGATATTTTTGTTCTTCAAATAACTGACTCTGCATTGTGTAGGTATGCATTGCAGTGTGCTTTTTAGAAGCATACGTAGTAGCATGTCCATTGTTTTTTTCCACTGTTGTAGCAGCATGTCCATTGTTTAGTAGTAACATATATAGCAGCATGTCCATTGTTTTATTCTACTGATGTAGCAGCATGTCCATCATTTAGTAGTAACATATGTAGCAGCATGTCCATTGTTTTTTTCCACTGATGTATCATAAAACTTTCCCCCTTACCATTCTGACTTTTGTAATTCACAAATTATTTTATAGATTTTTGTGTTCTTGAAACATCTGTTTGCTGCATTTTGTTGGTATCCATTGCAATGTGCACTTTTGAAATGGATGACTCCTGCAAACTTAGATGTATTAATAGGACATAACTAGATAATAAAGTGACAATGAACTTGTCTCAAATAATAATGCAACCTATCCTTTCAAAATTATCCCATGTAATACAAGTTCAGCATGTCCATTTTTGTACTAGCATGTTTGGTTAGTAGTAATATTTAGTCTCAAGTTTTTACAAACAACATCATTATGTAATATGCATGCTATGTTTATCAATTCAATAACTTAATGTATGAATTTTGTCAAGCAGCATCTGGATTGCCTAGCCTATCTAATGCATGGAATGGATAAAGACTCCACATCAACTTGAGGCATCTCTAAGTTCTCGATTTTAAAACCAAGTATGTTCCTACATTAAACAGCTAGATACTTGTCTAAAGTTTTGCTGAACTCGGCTTACTTTGATTTGATTCTTTATCTTTGTTTCTACATAAAATTTTTAGGCTATGATCCACAGTTTCAACTGCTGCACCAACTCATTCTATAACCCATACTTCTGAATCCTTTGTGCAGTCTGGCAACAAAAGTTGGACAAACTCTAATGAGGTCAAGAGTATCTGTCACATTTGTGAAATCGGCAAGGTCAACTTTTAAATTGTCGTTACAACCTTAATTATTCCTTCAAATATCTACCAACTCTTTGTGATGTCAAACTAGGATTGTTTTGCCATAACCATTGGCACTACCAAGAGATTTAAGGCATCAAAGCATGACTGGTATTTTGAGGCTTGCCCCAGTTGTAAGACATCAAACAAGTCCACTGCCACCAAATTCATATATGTTTGTGGAGTCAAAGGTGTTAAACTTGTGACAAAGTAATTTTTCTATATTCTGATTTTTATACCTTCAATTATAACTTTGCATCCTGTTTTACATACTTGAACCTCTTTTGTTTTCATGGCATAGATACAAAATCAAGGTAGAAGTCGAGTTTGATAATCATGTTGGATGCTTTGTGTTTTGGGATAAAGATGTTATTCCATATGTTACTATGACTGTTAGGGAATTGAGACAAGTAACGAAGGAGGTAAATACATTATTCATTTGATTACTATGTTTCTGTTATTCATGATGTTACTCACCAACTTTACATTTCTGATGTGATTATTCATCAAGGCTGGAGAGGATAACCCAAAAATTTATCCCATACACCTAGACAAACTTTTGGATCAACAATTTGCATTTAGAATCGAATATCAATCTTTTTTCAATCAATTCTCAATTGTTACTATCCTTAACGATCCTGGTGTTTACAAAACATTATCTGAAGCCCTTAAACCGGATGAGGTACAATTTGGTTGTGGAAATGAAGTCATAATGCGTAAACTTTCAAATTTATCATGTTTTGAACATAACTGATTGGTTTCAATTTGTTCTCTTATGTTTTGGCAGCATACCTCTAAGGCTGCCTTTTTGAAAATAGATACAGAGCATGCTATGGATATGGAACTTGAACCAATTGTATGTCTTCTTTATTAACATGTTGCAAAACTTCCAATATATTGTTGTGTACTACAGGCATAAAATATTAACCATTTACTTTTGTTTTGTCATGTCAACCCAATCTTCTGGCCAACACTACAACACACATTCAGAAATTTCTGCAACCCAAACTTGCAGTCCATCCACTTGCTCTAGCAACACATCGGCTAAGAGGGCCGCCATTCTTACTTTTCCTGATGATTTTTTGCAAGATGGTGTCTTGACTCCAAAGAATTCAGCAACCAAGGTGAAGCACCTCAAGAAGGAGTGACTCTTTAGTGAGTACCTCATTTTGTGTTAGACTCAAATATTTTGTTAAGATCATTTGTGTAAGGATTCATTCCAAACTTCTGCACAACTGTGTTAACTACTTTTGTTGAATTAAATCTTACGTACTCCCTTATGCACAAACCTATGTATTATGTAATATGACTCAGGCATGTTTCTTTTGCAAACAATGATATTCTGAATTTGGTTTATCCATTTTTGGTATGAAACTTACACTGATAAATTGACCATATGAACAGGTTCATTTGAAACACAATACAAATTGCCTTTGTATATTTGGAGACAAACCAAATAACTGCTCCTTATCTTACTTAGACTTATGAATTTCAGGTCTTGATAATTATAATGTTTCTACATGATTTTAATCACCAATAAAACAAATGTCTTTCTATATCATACCAACTTTAACTTTTGGAACTTTTAATAATTCATCTTAATATGACTTTCCTTAATCCTTCTATTTTCAACTTTGTTTTGTCATATATTAATTATATATGGTTCTAAAGGGTCTGCGAACACAAGTACTTTGTTTTATGCAACATCGACATTTACTATGCCTTAACATTGTCTACTTCTCAATACCTTGCCTGAAGTTTTTTTTTCCTACCTGCATCACAATTTGTTTGTGCATCCTGCATCAATAACATGGCAGCATCATTGCCTTGAATGCATTCCAATTAAAATGTCAACCCCCATCAACTAATGGCAGCAACTTTTAATAGTTACTTTTCTTCCCATTTCCTACAGTACATGTTTTGGAAAACAAACCAAGTTACATTACATAGTATTTGGATGGACTCATGTCATTTAGTTCTTCCTTGATGACACTCAATCAAATCAAACTTTTTTACAAATCCTGCTGTACTTTTTGCTTGGTTCTTGTGCATAGTATTAGTATTGTTTTACAACCAGTTAACTTTATCATACATAAAGTCAGCTAGCAAACTTCCTTATTTTTGGGAATACCTTCAGCAACTGTACAACTCAACATTTAATGGCTACTGCATAGACTCCTGCAACTTTAACTTTCTGCAGAGTCATGTTGCACGAAACTTGGTATTACACCTTTATGCAGACCAGCATCCATCATAACCAATTTTGTCGTGTTTGCTTTTCTCACA